CTATACGACTTTACCTTCCTTGTTCGGAAGGAGGTAGAGGACTTACAGATATAAAACTATTACACCAAACACAAATACACAATTTACGACAATACTTTTATAACAAATCAGATACTTCAGTCTTACACAAAACAGTATCATATGCAGACAAATCTTACACACCACTTAACCTACACGAAACTAATGTACTCCCACCCACATCCAAACTTACATACATCACAAATAACATACAGACATGGAACCAAAAGCCTTTACATGGACGATTTCCACAAGAGGTTGGCCAGGATTGTGTTGACTCTATAGCAACGCACAGTTGGTTGTCTGAATGTGATGTCTTCCCGGAGACTGAGGGTTTCATGTTAGCAATACAAGACCAGGTCATTAACACACGCAACTATAAAAAAACACATACATAAAGATAAAACAGTGACAAATGATTCTTGTCGACTTTGTTCACAAACATCAGAAACAATCCAACATATAATATCGGCATGCACACGACTTGCACAAACTGAATACAAACATTGACACGATCAGGTAGCTAAAATCATACATCAAAAATTAGCACTTAAACACAATCTCATAACAGATACGACACCATACTACAAATACACGCCACAGATTATACTTGAAAACAACACACACAAATTATATTGGGACAGGACACTACTCACAGACAAAACTATCCACAATAATAGACCAGACATTACACTTATAGATAAAACACAAAAATCCATTTGCATTATAGACATTGCCATCCCCAACACTAACAACTTAACTAAAACACATGCAGAAAAACACCGCAAATACACCGATATAGCTATCGAGCTTAAGACGCAATGGAGAATGAAATCTACTGTTATAGGTCCCATTATTCTTAGTGCTACCGGAGTTATACCAAAGACAATACACCACAATTTACAACTATTAGGTTTGGACAAAAACACATACAAACATTTACAAAAAGCAGTCATTATCAACACATGCCATATTGTTCGTAAATTTCTAAACATAACACAAGATACTACATACACAAATGATCAACAACGTATACATGTAAACAACAGTACTCGCTCACAACACGGTACACAACATACTGTAATATCTCCACCTCTAACCCAAACAAACACACAAATACAACTTACCGAACAAACAAGTACAACAAATGATACAACATATACTACAATCAGAGATTCACTTCTGAAGCAAACCACATTATCACCACCCATTAGTATTCAACCCAGACGCAAAAGCCTAAACAGCACTTTAGACTCACAACATGACACACAACATACTGTAATATTTCTTCTTCTTCTTCTTAACTCCACCAACCACACAAACACAACTTCCTGAACAAACAAACGCAATAAATACAAGTAACGCAACACGCACTACAAAGACGCCCTCACCCACACGGCCTAGCACAGCTAAAAAACACAATACTCTTTCTTCTCAGAAACTCACCACGTTATCACAAACACAACCCACTCGTACTCAACCCAAACGCAACAACCTTAACAGCACTACAGGCTCACAAAATACTGTAATGTCTCCACCAATAACCCATGCAACAGCAGAAATACAACTTCAAGAACAAAGAAACACCATAAATACAAGTAACGCAACATGCACTACAAAGACAGGTCCATCCAATAAAGTTACACGCCCTAGCACATTTAAAAAACACAAAACCCCTTCTTCACAGAAACACACCACATTTTCACAACCCACTCGTATTCAACCGAAACGCAAAAACCTTAACAGAACTACAGGCTCACAACATACTAAAATATCTCCAGCAAAAACCCAAGCAACCTCTCAAATACAACCTCAAGAACAAAGAAACATCATAAATACAAGTAACGCAACATGCACTACAAAGACAGGTCCACCCAATAAAGTTACACGCCCTAGCACAATTAAAAAAAACATAACTCCTTCTTCACCGAATCACACCACATTATCACAACCCACTCGTATTCAACCGCAACGCAAAAACCTTAACAGAACTACAGGCTCACAACATACTAAAATATCTCCACCAAAAACCCAAGCAATTTCACAAATACAACCTCAAGAACAAAGAAACATCATAAACACAAGTAACGCAACATGTACTACAAAGACAGGTCCATCCAATAAAGTTACACGCCCTAGCACAGTTAAAAAACACAATACTCCTTCTTCTCAGAAACAACCCACTCGTATACAACCGAAACGCAAAAACCTTAACAGCACCACAGGCTCACAAAATACTGCAATATCTCCACCAAAAACCCAAGCAACCTCACAAACACGACCTCAGGAACAAAGAAACACCATAAATACAATTAAAAAACACAAAACTCCTTCTTCACAGAAACACACCACGTTATCACAACCCACTCGTATTCAACCCAAACGCAAAGCCAAAGAAACACTTACACAATAAACTCCATTTAATAAAATTACAGGAATTATTATAATGATTTTTTTTTTTTGTTTTGTTTTCCTCTTTCCTGATAGCGTTGGCTATTGTGCCCATCAATAGGTATGTTGGTAAGTACGAATTACATACTATCCCTAGATGTCCAATGTACGTGTGTGATTTTTTATTTTTTTTTTTTTTTTTAAGGACCCTACATAACTTCACCAGACACAGACACAGACACTAATCGTTACTTGATTTTAATCCGTGCGATTAGTTAACCAGGCTAGACCTGAGTTCTCACAAGAAACACCGACCATAATAATAATAATATATATTTATTCTGTAAATTGCAAAAACACAATTAAGTATAGAAACGTCAAAATAATACAGCACAATATAACATTTTTGAATAGCATATAGACACAATAGACTAGCGAGAACAGGTACAATTTGTAAATATAAAATTCTATACTGCACTCATAGAGCCCATTCCTGAAGATATCGAATGCTATGTGGGTTAGATGAGAAAAAAATCTTCTTTCGATTGGTGTAATTATAAACCCTCATAAGTTAACATGGGAAGCAACAATCTGCAAAAAATATTTGTCCCATGATAATTGCTTAAAATACGGGGTGTTCTATTTAAAAGAAACGGAAGTTTTTCTCATACTTACATTTTTTCACGATATCTATCATACTTAAGTAATTATGATCCGAGGGGGGTGCTACATCCTGTATAAAGTACATATGTACAAGGGCTATTTGCTTACTTACAATTTACAAGGGAAAAAATGGATTGAATTTGTTGTTGAATGTAATTTCCTACGATTTAACATTCCATCTCTGGTAAAAGTGCGTAAACATTCACAACGTAACGTAAATTCTCAAAGAGGCCTTCGTAATCATCCACTTTCTACAATCCATTCTGTTTTAATTGAACCTTGGTTTTGCGGTTGTTTCATTATTCGCAATAAACATCTCTTTTTATTTCCCATTAGGGTGAATCAAAAGAAATTTCTGCAACAAAGACTTGGGATTGAGGTAAAGAGAATCATAGCAGGAGCGTAACCGTGAGCGACTGTTGCAAATCCGCGAAGCAAACTGAAACAAACACATTGTTTGGCATAGTTTCATAGTGGTCAATAATTTCTTTTTTCAATAGGTGTAATATCCGTAGTCGACGAGTTAGACTTTGAGCAGCAGCAGCAATACGAACTCTTAATTCGTGCCACCGACTCAGTATCTGGAGTTTATGCCGAAGTCCCAGTATCGATTGTGGTTCAAGATGTTAACGATTGTCCCCCAGAATTTTCGGAAGAAAGCTACAATGTGTCCGTGTCCGAAGCGGCATCGTTTGGCACCACGGTACTAACGATATTTGCGAAGGATAACGACACTGGAATTAACCAAAAGATTAAATACTCAATCGAAAAAGACAGCGGAAACGCCACTGATTACTTTCACATAGACGAAGCGGATGGAAATATTTACTTGAAGCAATCTTTGGACCATGAACAATCGCGTTCGCACCACTTTGTTGTTGTGGCCACCGACCAAGGCATACCACACTTATCCAGTACAGCGCATGTGTGGCTTTCGGGTAATCATTTATTGATGAACGACCAATTTCTCACATAAACTTACAGTGCTGGACATGAACGACAACCCACCCAAGTTTGAACAACCCTCATACTCATGTGGCCTTTCTGTTCACGCGAAACGTGATCAATTTGTTACGATTGTTACCGGAAGTGATCCAGATGAAAGCGATCAGGGCCGTTTACGTTACAGTATAGTCGCGGGAAACGAGCAACAAACTTTTCACATGGACCCCAATTCCGGTATTATCACACTGTTAAATTTGGCGAACTTCGGTGGAGATCGTAGTATGATCTTGAATGTCTCAGTCTCGGACGGTGTCTACACCAATTTCGCAAGATTAAAGGTGGAATTGCTACCGGCGAACTTACATTCGCCAGTTTTCCCAGACATTCTTGTAAACGTCCACGTAGCCGAAAATAAACCAGCCGGAACCGTCGTGGTCACCGTAAAAGCGACCGATGCCGACTTTGGAGAATTTGGAACCATCACTTACTCGATTCATTCCGATTTGTTAAGTGAAACGTTTAACATTGATCGTAATTCGGGCAAGATAACCACAAAGGAGAAGTTGGACCGAGAAAAACAGAAACTTTACGAAATTCCAGTGATGGCAACGGATGGGGGTGCCAGATCTGGGTTTTTGACAGTTCGAGTATACGTGGACGACGAAAATGATAACGCACCCAAATTTCTTTTGAAGGAATATAAAGGCTGCATACACTCCAATTATAGTGTATTCGCACCGTTTCTCAAGGTACGCGCCGTTGACGCCGACGAGGGTTTGGCCGCGCAAATTGAGTTCTCGATTTATGATAAGAAATCTTCGGGCGTGAAAGATCTGTTCGCAATTAATTCGAGGAGCGGGGGCATTTCACTATTGAAAAGTGCACTACCTTGGGGTAAGTATTGACACGTGACCGTGTCGCCGGTTTTTTAATAATATAATCTCTTACAGAGGGGCAAGTGTTTCAGTTCTTTATAAGGGCGACTGATTTGGGACAACCGCCTAAACATACAGACGTGCCGATTAACATTTTAATTATGGGACCAAAAGATCAACCTCCAGTTTTTGATATCAAGGATGAGACTTATTTCATTCCTGAAAATTCACCAACAGGTAAACTTGGAGTGTTTTTGTTAATATAAATTGAATTTATTGTAATGTACAAGTAGAAAACGTTATTTCCCCATATTAAATAACGCAAAAGCATGTTAAGGACGCTCGCGCACTAGCGGACAAGTTGCGCGGCTAGGTGGCGCACGTGACTAGGCATGGGAATTTTTTTCGATATATCGATAGGTATCGATAGTTATCGATATATCGAATAACAATAGGTAGAGCTAAAAAATCGATATATCGATATGTCGATAACTATTGGTACGATAAAATTATGTTATTGTTGAAATTTCAACGAGCGCTAATTAATAAAATCCATTTTCGGGTTTACTCTCGTGTAAATTTACTATTTTTAGTTGCTCGACGTTTCGGAAACTTAACTTTGCTCCCTTTCTCAAGAGAAGCGCTACGTCACATCATCATCCATGCCAAATAAACGCAGTAATAAAATCTTTAGAAAATAGATCTTTTCGTCTTACTGACGATTGCTCAAAAAAAGAAGCACTTCAAAAACTTGAACAAAATGTTGCATCAAAATGGCTATACTCTTTAGATAAAATAAAGAAGACAATCAAAGGGTGTAATCATGGCCTATGTATCGGTATCTGATTGATGGTTACAGAGGACCAGTCACAAAAAAACAGAAAAAGCTAAGAACACTTCAAATTTAGATATACAGTTTCAATTGATTGACATTTACGAAATCTAACAAAAAACTCTTGATAAAGGTAGCAAAGAAACGGCGAGTAACTATTAATAGTCACTTTACACGAGAATAAACCGGAAAATGGATTTTATTAATAAAACTCGATAAGATAACTATCCCTGTCAATAACTATCGATACGTCGAATATTTCTCTCAAATGAGGCGTGTAATTACCGCTTAATTACAGCGGTAATTGCATTGTAGAAAGCTAAAGAGCCCTGCGATAATTGCACAGTTAATATGGTAACTCCAATAAAGTTGCAAGAACTGCATTCGGTTATTTTCATATTTTGTTAAAAGAGCCCTCTTGTCTTGTCGGGCTCTTTCGCCAAAATATAAAAGTAAACTCATGCAGTTTTTAGACACGCTTTCAAAAAAATGATCGGTAATATTATATCAATACCTATATATCAAAAACTATCGCCATAACGAGAACTATCGATATACCGATACTTATCGATATAGCGACAGTTATCGATCTTTCGATAGTTATCGGTGTATCGATAACCATCGATATTTCGATAATTATCGGCATATCGATAAGTAAAATATATCAATAGGTACCTAAGTACCCGATACTTATATCGATAGGTGAAAACAGTTATCGCCCATCCCTAGCGATAACTATCGACATATCGATATATCGACATATCGATATATCGATAGTTCGATATATCGATAGTTCGATATATCGATAACTATCGAAATATCGATAACTATCGATATATCGATAACTAACGATATATAGATAACTATCGACATAATCGATACATCGATAACTATCGACATATCGATATTTCGATAGTTATCGATAGGTATCGATATATCGATAACCATCGATATTTCGATAATTATCGGCATATCAATAAGTAAAATATATCGATAGGTAAGTACCCGATACTTATCGATTGGTGAAAACAGTTATCGCCCATCCCTACACGTGACTGTCAATGGCAATGACGGCCAGAAAGTCGTGACTCCCAACGATATATTAGGCGACACGCAGGTGGCCCAACGGCAGTGCTCAATTGGCAGACATGTACTTTAAGTAGCGCGATCGGGTGGGTTCCACTGGCCCGCACTACTAGGCCGGTAGTGTGCGGGCGCCCTAAGTTTTTGTAAAATACTCGTCCCCAAAAGTGCATTTGATTTTTTATCTAAGATGTCTGAAGCACGTCTTCGATAGGCTATTGGGCCTATCCCAAGATGGTGACCCCTAAACGAGGGCGAGAAAAAAACATTAACATGAAATTGCCGTATTTGCAACTAGTTTTTAAAAACCCCAAACATGGTTGGCATAAATAAAGCGTTGTGCCCTGTTTCCCCAGGGATGAAGTGGACACCATCATGGTGTCACCATGCCGTATATCGATATTGCCACGGGGCCTTTCTCTCTAGCGCCCACCGCAAATGGTGTTATAACATTTACCTACAATAATATAATCAGATCAAGTGAAGGAATACATGACATAGATTAAATATTGACACGTTTGCTAATTTAACCCTCGAAGGATTTATACGGGCCACTGTAATGGGTGGTCACTTAGCCGTTCGTTTTGAATTTGTATTTTCTTGAACATAGGGAAACTTCCACATGTACCGCTTCATACTAGAACTAAAGTTAGTCTGACGATAATATGCGATAAAAATCGGATTGGAAATACCGATCCGGCTGAAAAAACCGAAATAAAGGTTTTCTGTTGGTTGCACGCCAGGCGAGGTCATTGCCCATTTCGGTTTTTCTAACGGGCGATTTTCAAATAGCGAAAGAAGTGGGGGAGCGGGCATTCTAAGCTAATGTTCGCGAGTGAGCACGTTCTGATTTGGTTAAACTAATTATTATTATTCTTGGTTTGTTTCACGTAAAAACGAAAGGTTTTCGTTTAACTTGAACGGTGGTCACGCACAAATTCCGGTTTGTGATTGATCGCGGTCGACATTTTTAGCTGCGTTACGAGAAATATTCTCGCGTATGTGCGAAGATTTCCGGTTAGAATTCGGGAACCGGAATCTGCAATTAGTATGTGAAATCTATCCTAATGGTAGTAGAGGATTACCAGTTTGACTTGGCATAAAAAACATATTAAGGCCCAGTTGTACAATGTCATTTTAAACTTCAGTTTATATATATATATTTTTTTTTTATTGCCTTTATTCTATAGTGGGCGGAGTGTTAGCAATTTGTTATAGTTAAATTGTGGGTTAAAGGATTTGATTAGCTACTATTTCATAAGTTGACCAATCGTGCTTCTGAAACTAATCTGAAGTTTAAACTGACATTGTACAGAGTGTCCCATTAATGAAGGTCACAGGCCATATCTGTGGAACCGTTAATTGGACAGCTTCGGGAAAAAGATTTTGTTAACAAAAGAGGTCAAGAGAAGTCGCTGGAAATTATTTTCAAGTTTCTAGACTTGCCACGGATATTTCCAATTTTTCATCTTATTTGATAATGTCATGTAATAATGATATAGTTCCATTTAAGATTTTAAAGAAAGCCTGCAAAGTTTATGTCAAACCGCGCCCTCTACGGCTCTACCATTCATCACGTTTACTAAAAAATACTCTATTCATGCAAAACATGATTACACGAGGAGAGCTCTTTCGAGCAGGACCAATTGTGTGAAAATCTGTTAATTCAATTCCTTAAAGAAATGTTCCCCTTCCCCCACCCCTTATATTTTATGAGCTAGAGCAATATGTGCTGCATCAAAAATACGCAAAATTCATACATGTATTTTTTATGCATGTTTGTTGGGTATATTTTAGGAAAAAAATCATTTTTCTACTTAACCATGAACCGTGCGCCCTCTAGCGGGAAAGCTAAAAACTTGAAAATAATTTCCAGCGATTTTCTTGGCCCCTTTTGTTAATTAAACTTTTTCGCCAAGCTGTGTAATTATGGGTTCCATTGTGACCTTTATTAATAGGACACCCTGTACAACCGGGCCTAAGTGACGAGAGCTCGTGATATTCGAGTAGGTCATGGGCAAACATTTAATCAAATTCGGATGTGTGACAAAGTGGGGATTACCTGCAATTTTATACGTGGGCGAATAGAGGAAACGATGAAAAACTTTTAGCAGCCTGATTCGCAGCAAGCAAGAGTGGCAAAATTTACACGAAGGAACATTTTCGAGTCGGAAATGCGCTTTTCAAATAAAAACAGGATTAATTAAGTTGTGCTCGATTGACGGCCTTGAACTTTAAGTAGCGCGATCGAGTCGACTCCACCGGCCCGCGTGACTAGGCCGGTAGTGCACGTGCGCCCTAAGTTTGATGTTTCTGATACATCACAGGCTGAATATCAATAGCTTTATACCCTAATGCCAAAGTATTTCTTTCAGGATTCTTTTCAGTAATTGCCCATTTGAAAATGGCATCGAAGGTTCCAGTATCATACAAGATCTTATCAGATAACGAGGAGAATCCACAATTTTTCGTTGATAGCATCGGCCAACTCACTTTAGCGCGCCCGTTGGATTACGAATCGGTAACTTCGTACATTGTTGGCATTTCCGCCGAAACCGATTCCAGTCCTCCTCTCACCAGTTTAACCAACATTATCCTACAAGTACTGGACGAAAACGATCACGCCCCTTTGTTCGAAAGCAGTCCATACATACTCAGTCTAGCAGAAAATACAGACGAGGGCACTTCCATCCTAAAAGGTACAGTAACAAAAACTCCGTAATGCTCATACTGAATGAGAGTTACAGTCATAGCGCACGACGCTGACCAGGCCAGTAGAGAATTGCGTTACAGTTTTGGAAGCGACGCCGGTGATGTACTAAACATATTTGCAATTGATGCACATACAGGGTGGATCACGACACTTACCCCACTGGACAAGGAAATTAAATCCGAGTACAAATTCCACATAACAGCCACCGATAATGGTACACCTAAACATACAGCTCGAACGACCGTCATCATTCGCTTGAAGGATTACAATGATAGCCCTACCACATTTAAAAAATCATACTACGAAAGCGCAGTTAACGAAGATGCCTTACCTGGCACCGTTGTGCTAACACTGGAGGTGACCGATGCCGACATCGACCTTTCCACTCCCGTTAATTACTTCATCATATCTGGCGATCCCAGTTCACAATTTCAAGTTCGCCAAACTGGCGAAATCTACGTTGCAAAATCATTGGATAGGGAGTCAGTTTCGAAGTACGACTTACAAATAATTGTTACAGATGGTTTATTTACCGACACCACCAAAGTAACTATAAACATTCTGGATGCCAACGGTAAGTGGCGCCCCCCCCCAGCTCCATAACAAAGTAAATGTCTTGCAGATAATCCCCCATATTGCTTACGTCATCGGTACCGGCAGGTACTCTCTGAAGGAATACTCCCGGGTTCATTCATACTGAATATACTCGCATCCGACATGGATGATCGCGAAAATTCAAAGTTGCGCTACATTTTAACCGGTGAGGGATCTGACCAATTTTCCTTGGATAAAGAAACGGGCTTCCTGAAGACTGTCACTACTTTAGACAGAGAACAGTGTCCGAAATATATCCTAGTTGCGCATGTACAAGACAAGGATCACTCGGGTTGGGAATGTTCCTCACAAATCGAGCTTATTATTTCCGATTTAAATGATAATGCTCCCCAGTTTACCCTTCCCTATTATTCAGTTGCGTTACCTGAGGATGTCGAAGTGGGTACACTTGTCACGAAAGTTCATGCAACGGATGCTGATATAGGTACAGTATGCTTCGTTGCTTTACAATTGTCTCACAGGTAATTTACAGGCATTAATAGAAAAATCAAATACTCGTTCATTGATTCTTTTAAGAATCACTTTAAAATGGCCCCCGATAGTGGAATTGTCACCTTGGCAAAGCCTCTGGACAGAGAAATTCGTGCAATATACAACTTGACGGTGCAAGCAATCGATCAGGGCACCCCGCGCATGTCGTCGGTCGCCACTTTAATAGTTAACGTCCAAGACATCAACGATAATCCGCCGGAATTCGCTTCCAAATATTACTTTGCCGTTGTCCCAGAAATAAACGCAATAGGCACGGAGGTAGTTCGAGTGCTGGCGACGTCTAAAGATACCGGAGTCAACGCGGAAATTTATTATTCCATAATCGGTGGCAATGAACATAAGAAATTTTCCATGGACAAGAAAACCGGTGTCCTCACAATTTCGGAAATGCTCGATTATGAAAGGGCTAAAGATTATTTTCTAACCATTCAAGCGGTCGACGGAGGAACGCCACCTTTGAGTAATATGGCTACTGTGAATATTACAGTTACAGATTGCAATGATAACGCGCCGATTTTCTCGCAAGTCTCCTACGGCACGAGAATAAGGGAGGATGCTCAAATTGGTGACAAGATTTTGCAGGTATGTAATAATAAATGACTTATGCAATCGTTTATCTATTACACAGATTTTTAAGCTTTGATTTTTTATTTTAGTCCAGTAAAATTAGACTGTAAAGGGGTGGGGGGCGTCCTCAAAGTGGCCTGGATAAACCTAAAACGTTAAAGAGTTCAGGCCCACTTTTGGTCAAAATCCCATGTCATTTTCCATAAGAAATTCTAAGGTCCATTTCAATCACTTTTGGATCCCTCCTGTCATGTGCGTATTAAGCGCCCCAGATTAACAGGTAAAAACAGGATTTGTGGCTCACTCCACTCAAATTCACTTTTTGCGATTGTGGCCGATCCAGCAGTGTCTTGATCTTAATGCATTGGTAAGGGATGCATAAATTTCTTTAAAAATTGTTTTACAATTATAGAAGCGTCAGGTACAATACATATCACAGATTAAATAGGTTAAATAGGATCAAATGAGTTATGGAACTCTTGTGTAAATTCCTTAATACTGTAAAATGCCCTCTTTTGTAAGGAACACTTGACTAGTTTTTTAAATTTTTGTATTCCACTTCTCGTAATATTTAATGGAAGTAGATTAAATAACTTAGTTCCCATATAATAGGGCGATTTTTCAAAGAAGGCATGGCAATGCTTCATCGGCAGAATCTTGTGCTTTTCTCTTGTATCGTGGCTATGTGTATCGCCGCATTTTGGCAAGTTATGTTTGAACTGGTGCATAAAGCATAGAATTTTGTATATGTAAATACATGGTAGTGGCAAGATTTTATTTACAATAAAGATATTTCTACATGACTCTGTTGGTTTGAGTTTAAAAATTAAACGTATAACTCGTTTTTTCAAAACAAAGAGTCTGTGGGTCTTCGAGCTCGTTCCCCAGCAGATGATATTATAGCTTAAATGGGAATACACCATAGCATAGTAAATGTTAAGCAGGTTTTTTGCATCGAAACGATTCCTAAGTTGGGCTATTAGATAGTATGATTTATTTAGCTTTGAACAAGTGTATTCAATGTGTTCATCCCAGCGCAAATGATAATCTAATTTCACTCCTAGGTATGTAGTCTATCTTGAGCCGAAAATGTCATTATTGCCAACCTTTAGGGTAAAGATATCCTGTCCGTTTTCGGTGGGTTTCATATTCATAACAATGGTCTTATCTGAATTGATGTGCAACTTGTTATTGTTACACCATTCTAGAAATTCTTGGATCACAAGCCTTAATTTTTCTTGCGCTTGATTGTAGTTCTTTGCGTTAACAACAATAGCCGTGTCATCCGCGTACATGAAAGTTACTCCACTTTTAATATACCTGGGCAAGTCATTAATAAATAAAAGGAAAACGATAGGCCCTAGATTACTGCCTTGGGGTGTTCCAATATTGAGCGTATATTCATTGGAGTACGTATTGTTGAATTTAACGACAGACTTCTGATTTGACAAGAAAGAAAGTAGAAGATCATGAATGGGATTTCGTATAGCAAATTGTTTCAATTTTTCTGATAATAAATTTAGATTAATGCAGTCAAATGCTTTTCTAATATTGAAGTATACCACAAAGCATTCTTCGTTTTGATGTAGTTTATTGTTGATATGTTGTACTAGCTGTATTGTGGCTAATTCGGTTGACGATGCTGATCGAAACCCATACTGTTTGTTATATTTATATATCATATCATATTTTTCTAGGAATGTAGTTAGTCTGTTACAGATGCACTTTTCAAATATTTTGGAAAATGAACTAAGTAACGAGATTCCTCTATAGTTTGACACCTGTTTCTTGTCCCCTTTTTTGTGGATTGGTATCACACAAGACTTTTTTAGTTTTTCAGGGAATGTACCCTTAGATGCACAATAGTTAAACAATCTAGATATTATCGGAGCGATAATATTCGAACAGGACTTCATTAACTTGTTAGGAATTTCATCAATACCCGGGGCTTTCCCAATTTGTAATGAATGAATGATATTATACACCTCAGTGACGGTGCATGGATAAAAAAAGAAAGTGTTTCTACTTCCAGGAAAAGGATATTCTATTCTAGAGTAGGTGAAACATGGTAGGGCTGCAACTGACTCTTTAAAGTAATTTGCAAAATCATTCGCGTTAAGAGAACAAGCACTCCTTGAGGCGTCAGTAGCTTTTGGTTTAATTAAGTTCCACAATGCCCTAGGTTTATTTTCAGCATTATTTATAAGATGTGCGGCAAAATTTCTTTTTTCTAAGTTTATTTCTTTAAAAAGAGATTTCCGTATATGCTTTAAGTATTCTTTGAGCTGGCAGCACGCAAAGATGTCATTAATTGCTACTAAATTTTTAAATTTTTCATATTTCAGTTGTAATTGCGTGGAAAACTTTATTTTATTTGTGGAGTATCTATTTTTTCTTACAGTTTTAGTTTTTTTAGGAAATGATGTTTCAAAACACCAATTAAACACTGATCGTAAAATGTATTAAATCGATAATCTACATCCTCAATCAATTCAATATAATTTAAGTCTTGTTTATTAAGTAAGTGTAGGAATGTGTTTAGATTTTCATTTGTGAAATCACGTTTCAAAAATCTATCTATACGCTTCATTCGATTTGGACACTGACGTCCTGCAATGTTTATAGTAATATACATTGTGCAAAATGACCTGAGAAACCTACATTAAGATTGGTGCTTTCTTTAATGGCTTCAGGTTTGTCAGTAATAATGTAATCAATAGCCGATTGGCTTGTCTGTGCTACATGAGCATATTGTTGTATTCTAGTTGCATCCTTGATCACAGAGTGCATATTGTGCGCATTAAGAATGTCATTAAGAGATTCCAATGTTTTATCTTTATGCAATTGATTTATGTTCAGATCACCACAGACATATACATATTCAAAATTGTTATGCAATTTATTCAACAAGGCATTGAATTGTTCTAAAAATATTTTTATGCATTTATTATCATTCGTGTATGGACGATACAAAGCAATAACACAAATTTGATTGCCGATGGATATTCCGCAGCATTCAAAAATGTATTCAATCGAGTGCTCCTTTACAAATTTGAGAGCTTTACTTACTTTTAATATGCAATTCTTAACAAGAATAGCCGGCCCTCCTCCTTTTTTACTTTCTCTTTCATAACTCGACAATAATGTATAATCATTTATTCTTACCGCGTCAACTTGATCCTTATTTAGCCATGTTTCACTGAAACAGAGTACAGTGTAATTGTAAATATCACATAATAATTCAACATAGACTGTTTTATTGAATAATGATCGAATATTCAAATGAAATATCTTATGGTTGAAATATTCTGAATCATATGTTATTTTTCCGATAGTGTGGTCCTCTTGGAGTGAAAAAACCGATTGATACACGTGCCTCTGGGCCAGATTGATGGGTCCATCGCCTTACTTCGATTTTCTTCATTTATGGTAATTTTGAATGACGAATAGTATTGCGGGTACGCAGATTTCATACTTTCGCAAATAGCTTCCGAGAAAGTTGGTCTCAGAAATTCCGTTACTTGATCCTCGGTGGTATCAGGGTGTAATTTATATACATGTAAAAAGGCTAGTTTTGGAATAGCCCGTAATGGTAGGGTAGTATTTACAAGTTCGCCCACGATTGGTGCATTGCCTGATCGTTTGGAGCGCTTTCTGCTAGTTACCAGTGTGAACGGTTCTTCAGCAGCCGAGTCTTTACATCCGTTTGGATTGACTGTTGTTTGATTTATATTAGAGGCCGTTTTAGCGGTAGAAATAGCTGTTGCAACTTGCTTCATTGTAAATTTGGGTTCATTGCCATTAGCATTGTTTGTTGTTGTACTAGAAGCGATAGGACTCGCATTGTTACATTTGGAGCTATTATCAGCTTTACTCGATAACTTCGAGGCGTCACTTTTTGATTGTTTAACATTTTTGCCAACAGATGCCGCATAGGTATTATTTTGGTTATTTAACTTATTTAACAATCTAATTTGTTCACGTAAAGCCTCGATTGCGGTTTTTTGATTGTCAATTATTGTATCTTTGTGAGCTAATAGCTCTTTTAAGTGGTAATTTCTGTAGAATGGATAGGAGTCTCACCGTTTGAGCTTTTTGCACTTGCGCCTTTAGAATCTTGATCATTTTCATCAGAGCAACAATTAATAAGCTTGTCGTCAACTTTCTTAACGTGTTTTAATAGTTTTACACAGCTCACATGCGACACTGTTTCACATTTAATACATTTTAATCCACTTTGGGCAATATTTTTGCATTTCCGACACGGTTTACTGGCATTATTTGGGCCAGCACTTTCTCCGTACGCCATCTTAACTTATCTCTTCACTCCTTTGAGATGAAAGAACTCATCTTCTACCTCTCCGGCCACTTCCAAATCCATTAGGATCATGCGATTCATTTCCGTCCACCGAAAATGACAGTGAATCTCTTTCTTTTCAAATCCAAGCTCCTCAGTTGGACTTTGCTCCATAATTGTAGTGATTGGGCCATCATCAAGCATGGCCATTGTTTTTCTTTTGCTTTTTCCCCATGAAGGAAGTGCGCGATCTATAATCTCCATCCTTCTCCTTCCTTCACTCCCCTTTCCGTCCACAGTTAATCCTTCCATCATGTCGGGAGTAAAACTTCTCAGGTTGTGTAGAGTAGAGGGCAAATTTTATTTAATAGCAAGACATATTTAACCAAGGCGAGGTTTATTTTTACCTTTTTCCCCCTCCCTTTTGCAGGTAAATAATCATCCCTTATTATAGTAGGTTCTATACAATACTATAGTTGCAGTACATGCATTAAAACATTGCACTATTGCAGGTGGTCGCAACTGATTTAGATAGTGACAATAATGGTCGCATCACATACTCAATTTTGCGAGGCGACAACCACGAACAGTTTACTATTGATCAAGACACTGGATACATATCAGTAGCGGCTCCTTTAGATCGCGAGTCAATATCAAGCTATGTACTGGAAGTTTTAGCTAAGGACAATGGATTACCGGTGCTCTCGCGGCAAGTTATGGTCACCATTGATATTTCCGACGCCAACGATAATCCTCCGTTATTCACCCAAGCAAATTATACCGCGGTTGTGCAGGTTTGTGCGTGTTGATTTGAAAACGTTTACACCATTTGTACAATTTTATAGGAAGACAAACCCATCGGATATCCCATACTAAAATTCCTGATCACCGACGAAGACGCGCCTCCAAACACGTCACCCTACACGTTCGACTTCCGTTCTGGAAACGAGGCTAACATCTTCCGCCTGGAACAAGACGGCATCCTGCGAACGGCCATGAAATTCAACCACAAAATCCAAAACTCCTACTTGCTGCAAATACGCGTTTTTGACAATGGTACTCCGCCGCTATTTTCCGATACCTGGGTCATAGTAAAGGTAATAGAAGAGTCACAGTATCCCCCCATCATCACGCCGTTAGAAATCAACATCAATTCATTCCTGGACGAATATCCCGGAGGAGTCATTGGAAAGGTATTTGCGAACGACCAAGACCGCTATGACACCTTGACCTACTCTCTATCGCCCACAATGGGAATTCCCTATCCGACACACGAGCTATTTCGGATCGATCGGACCGACGGTACACTGACCGCTTTACCACGGTTAGATGTCGGCGACTATCGCCTGAATGTTACCGTTACCGATGGCAAATACTACGCCCATACCATTGTAAAGGTTAATGTCGAAATTTTATCGGAAGATATGTTGGAAAATGCGGTGGTGGTGAGATTTCGGGAAGTAAGTCCGGAGGCGTTTATACTTAGCCATAGGAAGGGTTTTGTACGAGCAGTGCGTAACGCGATGAATTCGCGATTGAAAGATGTTATTATTATAAGCGTACAGCCGTCGAGTGACGATCTTAACTTGAGGGCGCGGCGGCAAGTCGTCATGAATAAAGACTTGGACGTGCTGTTCACTGTGCGCAAGCCCGCCGACGGTTTCTACCCAACGGATTCCGTCCGTAAGGCTCTCAATGACAATTTGGAAGAGTTGGAGGAGAGCACGAAGTTGGTCGTCGAGGAGATCGTGCATTTGAAGTGCACAAATTCATATTGCGACTACGGTTTCTGTCAGGACCATTACTACCTGGTACCACTTATCGAGCCGATTTCGACTGACGTTACCAGCTTTGTTTCCCCGCGACACAGTCAAAAGCTGGAATGCATCTGTAAGGAGGGATACGGCGGGGAGCGATGTGACACGATCGTCAACGAGTGCGCGAAACAGCCGTGCCCAGTTTACAAATTGTGTATACCTGACGCGTCCGTGCAAGGATATTCTTGCCAATGTCCTGAAGGTTTCGCCGGAAATATGTGCGATGTTGATATATCAAAGTGTCACGATGAGACCTGTTACATTGCGAGAAATCCCATTTCGTTTACCGGCAAGAGCTACTCGCAGTATCGGATTATAAACAAGAAGTCTATTGAGGATCAACTTAGTCTCAGTTTACGAGTTCGGACTGTCCAGCCAACGGGTAATCTAATGTATGCCTCGGGAAAAGTTGATTATAATATACTAGAGGTATGTATCTTACTGGAGTTGGAAATTTGGGTCACATTAGATAGTTGAGGGGCCACATATAGATTTTTGACTCTGAAATCGGAGCCCAAGCTTTAAATTAGTGTCTTAATCATATTAAGTCCTAATTCAGATTTGAGATTTGAGTATATTTTACACACTAATGAGATTTTGCAGTGTTTCTTTTAATTATTCGCAATGAGTTTAGGCCATAAAACCCTTACACCCTTACCTGTGAGTAAGCTTCTACGTATTATCTAATATGTTGTACCTAAAAATTACAGTTTATGAAAGGAAAGATGTTAATAACAAAATACAAGGGTGTTTTTCATATTCCATAAAAAAAACATTGACACCAAGGGACAAGTTGGGTAGTTCGCACAACATCCGTGACTTTAAAATGAAATCAGAGCTGGGCAGTATTCGATGTAAATACTTTTTAGTATTCTAATCCTTTAAAGTATTCAAATACATTGTAATTAAATACTTTTATGGAAGCAGTATTTGGATAATTCGTAAAGTATTCGAATACTTCGCATAGTACTTGAATACTTAACCTTCCTTTTTTACCAAAAATCGACTACACCAAAATTTCTCGGGAAAACACTTTTTCTTCTTAATTTTAGTGCGTAGAATCCAAAACAATTCGTACTTTTTCGATTAGACTTCTCATTCAAAAGTTATGGGGACTAGAAACCAATTTCGAAAGAAAATTCAAAGGGCTGTAACTTTTGAACTTTTTTTTTGGAACTGTTTGAAATTATAGATTCTACAGGCCACATTCTATAAGAAAATTTTTTCCGGGTCGATCTGAGACAATTTTTTTTTTCGGGCCTCTACAACAAAAGGCAGTGCGTAGAATAACAGACTTCTCAATCAAAGTTATGGGCTAGAAACCAATTTCGAAAGAAAACTTAAAAGGGCTGTAACTTTTGAACTAGTAGCCCAATCTTGGAACTGTTTGAAATTATGGATTCTACAGGCCACATTCTATAAGGAAATGTTTTTTTCCGGTCGTTCTGAGACAATTTTTTTTTTCGGGCCTCAAAAAAGGCAGTGTGTAACACTTTTTCTTATTAATTTTGGTGCGCAGAATCCAAAACAATTCATACTTTTTCGATTAGACCTCTCAATAAAAAGTTATGGACAAAAAACAAATTTCGAAAAAAAATTCAAAGGACTGTAACTTTTATCTAGTAGCCTAATCTTCAAACTGTTTGAAATTATGGATTCTACGGGACAAAATATATAAGAAAATGTATTTTCCCGGTCGATCCCAGACAATTTTTTTTTCCGGCCTCAAAAAAAGGCAGTGCTTTTAAGGTATTCAAATATTTGAGAACAATTTAGAAATGTTTAGGGAAAGTTTCCATTGTCACAAAATCAAATATAAAAATCCCATGCAACTGAATACCGAACGATCCTGGAGTGAAACTTTTTGACTCGATAGTCTACGTAACTTAAAAACAATAGGGACCTTTCTTATATCCTTAAGACCATGTGTACCAATTTTCAAAGCGATCGCACGTTTCTAAACCAACTATCATGCACACGGACAAACGGATGGTCAAAAATGGATCTGTTCCAAAATCGCTAGGATTAATTTCAGAAAGGCGTACGTATCATCATTGTATTTACCTTTGAAAGTATCCGAATGCTTTTGAAAGTATTCGAATATATTCTAAAGTATTTGAATACTTATTTTTTAAAGTATTTGAATACTTTTCAATGTATCTGTATCTAGTTTTCGCTTGTGCTGGATGTAAAAGTATTTAGCATTCAAATACCTTTGATTTGTGTAAAGTATTTACTATTTAGTATTCAAATACTTTTTGAAAGTATTCTGCCCAGCTCTGAATGAAATACACATTCACAAATTGAAGGTAACCATGAACCACTAGCTGGCGGCACGGGACGGTAGCCTCGAGCGCCACCAGGAGAATGCAGCCTTGCCCCTGGACAAGGATTCAGAATGGTTGTCAAAAGTTGCCACAGATAATACATCCGGGAAACAATCCCCAAAGATCTTGCGGCGGTTGGCTTCTGCCAAGTGATCTAAAAACAGATTTACGGGACATGGCAACAGCAATAATTTTTTTAAAGTGTAACGGAAGCACAAATTAATTAACGGTATCTACCGGAAAACAAAATGCAGGACAGCAGAACACAATTGCAGGGTGCGAAATGTAAACTCTCATTCTACTGGTATTTAATGTGACACAAAGTTTTCCTGATCGACTCTACTGCCTTTCAGATAATATTTATGCTTGTTTTCTTGTAGATAATTAATGGAGTGGTCCAGTACAGATTCGAGTTAGGCAACGGAGAGGGGGTGGTTCGCGTCGATACTATTTTTGTATCCGACGGTCGGTGGCACGAGATCAAACTGGAACGGGAGCGGAACTCCGCCAAAATTATTGTGGATGGCATTCACATGGCGCAGGGGTCGACGCCGGGAGTCAGTGACATTTTAAATCTTCAAAGTGATGAAATGTATCTTGGAGCGGAGGTGCATCAGCACCCTTCCATTCTTGGATTTGAGGACATTCAGCGTGGCTTTATCGGTTGCATGGACGATGTGCGAATTGCGCGCATCTCGGTACCGTTGCATAAATCTGGAGATAACTCGATTGCGGTACTGAAACGATTTGCGAATGTGGAATTCAGTTGCGATACGTCTGTAATTTTGGTACCGCCCGGACCATGTGGATCGCAGCCTTGCATGAATGGTGGCACTTGTAAAGATACTGGTACCGGGTATGAATGCCAATGTCATTCGCGATTCACTGGAGTAATGTGCGAAATTGATACCGATCCGTGCGCCTCCGGTCCATGTTTGTATGGTGGAAAGTGTATCGTGAATCTGGTAGGCGACTATACGTGTAATTGTGTTTTGAAATTATCTGGGAAACGATGCGAGTATGGCAGATTTTGCATGCCAAACCCGTGCAAACACGGTGGTGTGTGCGAAGAAGGCGATGACATGCCTTTATGTAAATGCCGAAACTTTATGGGTGAGTTCTGTGAGTTTGATGTAAACGAGTGCGAATCGTCTCCTTGCCAAAATGGTGGCACTTGCAGAAATGAAATTGGTAGCTTCCATTGCATCTGTCCACCGAATACGACGGGTCCTTACTGTGCTAATTCTATTTATTCGACACCAATAACCTCTAACATTTATAGTATTACATGGGAAGAGCTGATTGGAATCGTGATTGCTGTCGCTGTTATTGTTGTTCTAGTTGTTATATTTGTAATTTACCGCTGCTGTCGAGCAAGACGTTCTCGTCAGCGTGGTAACATGATCAACAACGACACTAGGAAAGATCAGGTTGTTTTAAACTCGACGCGTCCACATGAAATGACAGAATTTAAGCGAGGATCTAAGCTGAGCAACTTGGAAATCAATCAACGTGATGTACCATTACGTTCTGCACGACCTCTATCTTATACTCCAACAACTCAAAATGATTTACTGTATAACTGCAATAATACAGTGTTGTTTAACAACTTGGATACTCTCCAAAGTTATGGTTCAGCAGGTAAGCTTTACTTTCTTACTTTCGTCAAAGATTTTTGGTACTATCACGCCTATAGCAGAACACACATAATTGCCCATATTTATGGTGCCAAAACTTGTGAAGTTGGGGACCCTTCATTTTATAATAATAATAATAATAATTATTTTATTAATGTTAATCGTAGAACAGCCTACTTACATCCATCAGAGCTCTATTATAATAACTAAAGTATACCTACTAAACTAAAAAGTTTACATATTTTGCAAGTTGGTGCAGAGAAATTCACTGTATGAATAAAATGCGTTTTTTGACAAAAATAATTTTGTCCTGTTTTTAAATGAATTGTAAGGTAAACATTTAATATTCGGTGGAATACAATTATAAAATTTTTTTGTTATGAAATCAAAACTGTTTTGGGTTTTAGTTAATCTACAATAAGGTATAGATATAAAATGTTTGTTGCGAGTATCATATTCATGAATATCCATTTTTTTTTACAAATTTCTGCTCATTACGTTTAGCATAACAGAGGCATATGTATGTAAAAAAATACAGGGCAATGTGAGAATTTTATAACTAATGAATGCCTGCCGACAATCTGCTTGAAATAGAAGATGAGCAATGATTCTTACACTTTTGCGTTGAAGTTTGAATAGTGGTTTCCAACATGCATAGTAACCCCATACATTAATGTAATATGATAAGTGACTGTGTATAAGAGCAAAGTATGCAATCCTTAAAATTTGAGCAGTAACGTTTTCCGCTAATCTGCGTAAAATGAAAAGGTTCCTGCATATTTTTGCTCGAATAACTTCCGCGTATCAAAATTTAGTCGACATCCAATAGAAATTCCTAAAAAGGTGACATGGTTTAATGTTGGTAAGTTATGAGAACGTAATGATAATATCATTGTTGCTGTTTTAGTGCTATTCATAGTTAACATGTTTGTTTCGCACCAAGTACTTGCCCGTTGAACCAATAAATCGGACTGATGAATTACCTGATCAATATGTTTCAACCCCACAAGCAATGTGGCGTCGTCAGCATAAAGTAGGCAATTGTCGCTGCTTGAAATATATCCCGGCATATCATTAATGCAAATTAAAAACAAGAGTGGCCCGAGAATACTCCCTTGTGGCACACCTTTAGTAATGCAAAGTTTTTCAGATAAAGTATTGTTAATTCTTAGACACTGGAATCTATTTGTTAAGTATGATTGGATTAATTATTTGCTGGTCAAATACTACTTCTGATCACTATTACTCGGTCAGTTTCTGATATTTTTTGGCAATGGTACCAATATTTGGCTTTATGCTAATTTTTTTCGAAGTAAAAGCAATCTTTTTTTATCATTTTTTTGTAAAACAGAGGGCGTGACGTATCCAAATATCTGTCTTAAGAATCTTTTGGTGTTAACTAAGCTAATGGTGCCTGTTCGTTTAGGCGATGAGCTCGAAAATGTTCCTCCGGATTATGTTCGCAATTTGAACGTCAACACTCAACAAACTGGATTAGGCAATCATTGTGACTCGGAGAAAAGTACATGGGCGGAGCAAATGCAGCTAGCGTCAACGTACGACAAACCAAGAATTAAAAATGGTAAATACACACAGTATCAGAGTGGTATTTAAGTACACTTATTTTAGATTTAAAATTGTCAAGTCCAGTTAACTGCGATGTGCCAAACCGTCTCTATGGTGGAAGGAGTAACCCCATATCAAACAGAAACACTGACGACGATCCGCGCTCAATTGGTAGTAAGTACTTACACGGTACTTAGGTAATAAAACTTCTTGGCTAGCGTTTGCAGGTTATCACTGGGATTGCTCCGACTGGGCGCGCCATAGTCAGACGCTTCCAAACATTACTGAAGTACCGGGTAGTGAGGTTCCTGATTCTTCCAGCTTCCACAGTAACGAAAGTAACGAATCGCGTTGCCATCACATGCCGCCGGTTCTCGGCCCGATTGATCCGCGCAGAGATATCGAGACTTTAAATGAGGATTTAGAATCTGAATGTCTAGCAGACAGTGAATGCGAACCGCATACCATTAGCCCAAGCTTAAATGCCTTAGATAGCGGAAATGAAGAATTTCGATTCACCACAGGTGCGTATCCATTTATTTTGTTTTACCGTTAAATCTGCTCTGTGTAAACATAAAGACGATATTATTCACCCGAACCTCCTCAGAATAAATTGACGGTAATTTTTGCTTGCATTATAGGATGGAGAGAGACACAGTTGTAGTTCTTCCAAATTTTTATATTCAGTAAGTCTGTTAGAACGTGAATGTATTAAGTAAACCGTTAACACTAACCGAATGCTCCCTATAACAATTCTAACGTGTTTGTTTTTTCAATGCAGTGCCTTTAAAAATTAATAAACCAAGTAAGTGTCATTGTGAGTGTATTACTTTCGGAAAGTTAGACTAAGTCATGAGAAGTCCAGTATCCTCTCACAGTAGCGAGAGCAAATTTTTTAAAAATCTCATTAATCTAATTTTCATATTTTCTCACATATTAAATGTGTTCAAACAAAAGAAAATGTAAGTATGTAGACGAAAATTTAAGTGTAATGTGAACAAATTGATGACCAACTTGAATGACAACGTATCGCTGATGAAAAATTTGGTTCCAATTGCCTCGCAAAGGGAATCCGCTCTTACATGATTTTAATTTTATTTAACCAAGACATGCAGTTGAATCCCCACACATAGAAACCATTCTTTAACTAATTTCCAATAAAAGGTAGATATTACTGAGTGAATTTTATACACCCTTCAATTTCACTGTTGCACTGCTGTATCCGAGATGCCAGTCTGTGGGCAACCAAAACAATGGATTTCCGATTTGAAGTTTTGTCGAAAATCCTTTCATTTCGAACCTGTTACGTCTCTTACTACTTCTCCAGTCCTGGGCCTAATAACCTGTTAACTGTACTCTTAGTGAAATTGGAGAGTGTATAGAACGACATCAGTAAAAAAACATTTTTTATAATAAACATAATTCGTTCAATGGTACCGCTGGGTGTTCAGAATCACATAATAATCCTGGCCCGTCAAAATTCAAATATCTGATGTATTCACGTAGTGGGAATAATCGAATTATTCATGAATATGCAATTGACTGTTTGAACATTTCAACTGAATAAATTTCCAAGCCTCGATAATTGATTTGGAACTATTGCTTTCGCTACTTATTGCCCTTCTAGTATAAAAACAGTCGCAGATAGCCGCCTACTGCAAAACATGGTCGTCTGTGGAGTATTTTCATCTCTGTCTAGCCCATGCGAAGAAAAAGACATGTTTTGCAGTGGGCGGCTACCTGCGACCGTTTTTATACTAAACGACTATTGACGTGTATTTTACATGCAATGCAATTTGTGTAGATTATAGTCTAATTTTCTATGCCTGAGTTTGTTTCTATTTTTTGAATTTGCTACCATGCACAGGATTTGAATGTAGCACTTATTTACGCATACGAACCGTACGCACACTAACGTGATTGGCATTTAACAGATAGTTATATACGGCATCCCAATTCGTATTTACCGACGCACGGGTACAATATTCCTAGCGAAACGGAAGGAGACTGCGTTCACAGCCCGGGTGCCGAATCCGACGATGTGGAACCGTACGGTTTTCCCAGCATTCGTAACCGAAGACCTTGCGATGATGACGATATCGGATCTGTCATTACAACTTTAGGCAAGGCTACCTTATTATTACATCGTTCAATTTATTTGTACTTTGTAGAAGAACGACATTCGTTGTTAGGAGGGTTTCCCAGCAATAGTGACATCTCTACAAATCTCTGCGAAATAGAAGATTCCGAATGTGAGGGGGAACAAAAACCCTTAAATTATCTATCTATCCATCAAACCGAAGTCTGACAAATGATCACGAAGGGTTCCACATTCAAGATTCGACTTCCCGGATAACGTGGGTGCCCACTTGTGAACAATAGACAAAGTTAAGTTGACCATTAATGGAATTGACCGTAATTATCACCATAGATTTTGCATATCATGACGAACGTTAATCGGCGATGTATATAAATTATAAATATTAGAAACTATTTTTTTATGAATGATTGAGTGCGCTTTTAAATATATATAGTTTAAGTGAATAAAAATCACAGTTCCTGTGGTTTCCCCTAACTATTGTTATTTGATCGAAAGTTTGAGAATTAAAAAAAATCGACGCATGTATCAACGGAAATAAGTGTAGACGTATACTAAAAAAATTTTGTAAGTTTTATAAATGTTACGTGTTTTTTATTTATAAAATTTCTATGGATAAATGATGTGCCTAAAGAGCAGCTATAATTTAAGGCAGCTCTAATTAACCGTAAATGGTTAAAATTATTTAACTATTCACTACTTTCTTTTGTAAGTTAATGTTTGGTACCATCTTTAGTCCTATTTTGCATGTGATAATTTGTTTGTAATGTCGTAGGTTAATTTATTTAGGTTAATTTTTTTAATAATTTGTACTGTATTTTAATTCCTTTGGAAAATAAATTCAAACAACACTAATTTAGGTGCCTATTTATGTATTGGGCATCATAAATAGAAAGCGTACTGACTATGGCCGCGTCAGTTATGCTCTGATAAAAATGTCCTCCCCTTACCATCGAACTTTTGCTCCCTTGGCTTGTGAACGCAGCCTCAATAAACATATTACTCTACCATAACTTGGTTTTAGGTCCATTAATTACACATTAATCGATTTTAGTTTTCTAATGGTACCTTTTCAGCATTACACAGGCCGTGCAATGGAAAATATCAACGTGAAAACAGATTACGCCGTTTGATCTCACATTCCAAGGAACAAAAGGGACTGCCGAATTTGGCGATTTCATTCAGACTATTTGGATAAGTATAATTAAGCGAAATTTTTTGAATGGGTTACAGAGTAAAACAGCCGGCCTTAAAATCTTGAATTTTGACACGAGTCCCGCATTTTTAAGACGTCTGGGAAGCACGAAATTATTTAAGCCACCAGACAATTATTGTTCCATAGCAGAGTATAGGTCTTATCACGACAGTGTACAACCACAAGACCGCCTTCGGAAATTGTCCCCAAAGTCTCCCAAATTGCGCGGCGACTACGCCAGAAAGCCCTATTTGATTTTCGACTTTGAGCTTACTAAATATTCCACTGACTGAAAATTGTAGGTGTTTTTGGAATATCAGGGGAGTTCGCAGACCCTCTACCTTTTTTTTTCCGGTGAAGAGAACTGGAAAAGGAGTGTTCCCTACAAAGTAGCCTCAAACTTGCCTGTTATTAGTATGGTCCGCATACGCTCATCAGTGTATAGTAGCCACTATTATTGAGGTGACATAAGGAGGCTGTTTACAGTTCAGTATGATTTTTAGGTGTAGAGAAATCACCTTTGTATAACTCTCACTAGGTAGATGACAATCATCGAGTCCCCATTGCAAAAGGGCTAGTATTATGTCGTCCAATCCTGGTGATTTGTAAGCTGAGAACGATTTCAACGCCCAGGTCACCTTCGCCACACCCGCTAGATGTTCAGTCAGATGGCTGGCAATCGGCCAATCATACTCCGTGGGAATGAATGGGATTACCACTGGCAAGTTGGGGTATGGCGCTGTGGTAGCTCCGGGAAAGTGGGCGTCTTTTCATTTAGATAGTCCGTTTTGATATCAGCTAGTCCCTCCCCTTGTGAGTTCAGGGGTAGAATTGACCCACTCGCGCCCTGGAGATCGCAATGGGCATGGGAGGCGCAGAGTCCAAACGCCTTCCATATAATCTTATCTAATTTACCCTTTCCACGTGTTTCAATTCGTAAAAACAATCCCGTTGGCCTTTCCTCTTTTCCCCCGCTGGCAGTAGCGCAAACAATACAATTTAAAAACACGTTTACTGTTCAGGAGTTCGGATTGTCCCCAGAGCTGGCAGGCGAGCACTCGGTCGTTCTCGACGTCGGTAGTGGACGACCAGACCGTGGCGTACACCCGAAAGAAATATGGGCAAAGAGCTCTGTTTCTTAGAAACAATCAAGCAGATTGTTAGAAGTAAAATGTCTCGTAGACTTTGATGTTATTATGCAGGCAGATGCCACTTTCAATAATATGTCTAATAAGGGATGTTAGGGGAATAAGAACAAAACGCGATGGAATATTTAACGATAGGTACAGCTAACCACGTTCTCACTTTTAATACCCGAACACTCGCAAAAGCGATGCAGGCAGCTTTTTATCTTTTGAAGGCTCGGTCTTATATTTTATATTATACCGAACGCATTGCGTTGCTTTAATTGTCAGCGATTTGGTCATGCATCCAGCATATGTAAATATATCCACAACGGTGTATTTGTGGAAAAGAAATTCACCAAGAAACTGTTATAAATTTGTAATACCTATTGAATGTCTAAATTGTGATGGAGCCCATAGGTCAATTCAAATTCGGTCCGATCTATAAAGAACAGGCAAATCTACAAGAAATTAAGGTCATTTACAAGGTAACATATTGCGAGGCAAAGAACTTTGGCGATACCGTTGCCGTCGTCTCGACAAGTTGCCGCGCCGCGTCAGCGACTCCACGTTCATCAGCGTGCTCAGCTACACGTAGGTACTTACGGGTGTTTATTTTCAGTATTCTTTCATCTGAAACAGTCATCCGACGCCATATATATTTGAAAAGCTTTCAGAACTCTTGCGGAATAGTCATGAACTCTTAATTATATCAACAATTCAAATCAAAATTTTAATGAAAAATCTCTGAATCCACCGTTTCTATTAATTATACACAATTTATCACCAACTTGGTATTTTATAAATCAATTAAGATAGAAATAATTGTTACTAATATTCTGTACGAATATAGACGACGAGTTTGAAGAGTATTTACCAACATTTAATCAGTTAGTCCCTTGACCATTGTTTACCGAGTACTGAAAACATAATTGGAAAATTCGAAACCGTTTGCGACAGACGGACGGACGGAAAAAAGTTCAAAACCAAAAACAATTTCACAATCCTTGTTTTATATTTATTGGGGAGTTTTAGCTTAGCGTTAACCTGCGGTAAATGGTGTAAATATTTTCAATTACAAATAAACCCATAAAGAGCGTCTAAAAAGCGGCAGAGCACCTCGTTGTGACCCCACGGAGTCATTGGATTTAACCCATTTTCAATAGGATTATTACTTGTGGCATATAGGTCAACTGTGCAAAGTTTGAACAAAATCGGTCCAAGCGTTTGATAGTTATCGTGTTCACTGACGGACAGACGGACACTATATCGACTTCTCTATAAAGTTTGCTCTTGCAACGCTTTGCTCTGCCGCTTAATAATGCTTTTTGGCCTGGGCGTGAAGGAATAAATTTTTTTAATTAGCTGTAGATAATGTATATTGAATTTTGTAGACGTATCATTTGTTGTAAGTTTAAATTTAGATAGATATCAGCCGTCAGTAACGAGTTAATCGGTAAGCAATGTACGTGGGCGAAATTAAAGATAGCAGTGCGGAGAGAGAGACGCGAATTTATTAGCGGATATTCATATGAGGTTGGACTCGCGTTTGAGAAAGTACAGTACATAGCGCATCATTTTTAACGGTACCAAATAAATTAAATGCGCAATAATATATAAAAGTAAAAAGTGTGAAGTAAATCAGTAGTTCGAATTCGTATTAGTGGCAAATAATCGTGTCGTTAAGCATGGAAGAAATTGCATCAATGAAGACATCAAATTCAACCGCTCTTTTCCATTGACTTAAGGAAGTTTCAGCGGAAAGTTCCCGATTCCAGGCGACAGTATGCATCTACCTCAACACCATTAGTGAGTTAGGGGTAGCATCCCAAGGTTCAGCATCAACCCATTCATTGAGTTCAGCGGCATCGACGGCGTCAAATTCCAGAGTAAAAAGGTACATGATATTCTTTATTTATCATCGGCATAAAATCCAACGTACACGTTCTAAACCCGGGGTCATATTTCGATAAAACTAAGGACAATTTATTTGTGAATTTTGAAGTTAACCCTTCGACAGAATCATTATAGTGTTTTAGTAAACTAGATCCTTTTATATAGGTAGTTAATTAATTAAAATAATTTGGGGCTAGATTTTTAGGTTTGACATAACTGTAAATATATACTTTCTTTGTATTTCAATAAAGTAAATGTATTCTAATTAACGTAATCTTTTGCAATCGTAATTACAATGGCTACTCTTTAAGACCAATTCACATTATCGGTCAGATCACGGTCCGCTCTCGGTCCGGTCAATTAATGTGGCGTGTAGGTATTTCTATGAACATGTTCTGACTGTGACCTGACCGTCAAATGTGAATATTCCTTTACTAACAGGAGCAAAAGGTTTTAAATTCAGAGGTACAGCGAATTTCTGAAACATTTGGTCTAAATTTTGATTATAAGTTATTGGCATTAACTAAATACATATGAAAACGAAATTATCTAAATTATTCCGTATTATTAACCTATTTACCTGAGCTGGCTGGAAGTAAAAAAAGTATAGTTAAGGTAACCAGCGACGCTGAGAAAAGGACAAGAAGGATATACACAGCGAACCATCGGTATTTGTAACCATCTGTTACAAATTGTCACCCAAGGGTAGGACTGTAGCGTGAGGACCGTTACAACCTGGCATCCCATGTATGTACCATTACATTTAACAAAATTGGATGATAAGTTAACGGACATAACTGAGGAAGTTTTCTGCTTTTCGTAAGGAAAAATATGTTGAGGTTGAAAACATTTTCCATAGAGATTTTGAGTTCTGGGTTGAGTGCAAGATCGCCCTAGTAACCATATTCATTATAAGAATAAATTGTTACTTCAAAATTTGGGAATGTCTTTTATAAAAAATCTGATACAACTGAATACCGAATGATCTTTGAGATCGTTTTCTCGCTGCATCTTTGTGGCCCGATAGTCCATGCAGCTGAAAATAGCGACCTTTATTCGTATCCTTAAGATCATGTGTACCAATTTTCTAAGCGATCGGACGTTTCTAAACAAAGGTATAGTGCACACGGACCGATTGGCAAACAGACAAACAGCAATACAAAATAATAAACGATCACGAGTACCTATCGTTGATAACACGGAAATGGTAAAAGACTTCATTTTCGCGTGCATCACGATTCACGAATGCATAGTATTTTTATTGGTTACTTCTTTATTATATTAAATATTCGGATAGTCGGCCGAAAAATTTAAAATACATGCACGCAAAAATAGAAATTTGTGGCCAACAAAATCCGCCAATGTTGCGTAGCATTTGGTTTGGTAGTACAAAAGAGGCACACCAAAGGAACGAATTTGCACTTTTTACCACCCACAGTGGATGATTTACAAATTTGCCGCCAGTAGGCTATTCTATTTTTGCCGCCCCTACTGACTGATGACTGAAATTCGGTACCCTAGTTCCAAATTATTTACATTTATTCTAACAATGAAATTGCAACTTTCTATCGCTTCTTTAAAACAGCCTTTTCCCCTTATTAGCATGATTATTGTGAACTAGACCCTAGGGGATTGTTGTGTGAGTTTCTTGATTATTTTTACAACCCAAGATTTAGTGAAAATTGCACGAGAAATTGATTTTTTGTAACTTATGAGCTAAAAAAAAGCTCAATCATGTACATACTTATTATAAGGCGTAGTGCATGCTTTAAAAATTCTTACACCAATAGGAACACTGCAGCTTACACAAAACTACTAAATTTCAATTGCAATATTGGATCGCTGCTATTGGAATATTTTAAAAATTCATGATCTTAAAAGTATATTTTACAGAGCGTTTAGTAATTTTTCAGATACAGACGTAGGTAGAGTGGTATACTGTAGTACCAAAATATTGAGATTTTTGTTAAATTTTAGAGACTCGTGTTCTTTATTTATACAGGTTGAGTTTTTTTAGCTTCCTAGCTTGAGCTAGGATGGCTATTAAGATCACCGTTTTTTGGAAATTCAAAATTTAATCATCGACTTTTAGGAATAACATTTTTTTCCAAGATAACCGCTCGAACGTTTAGTTCAAATTAAGCATACGGAAACGAAAACCAACGGACCGAATTTGTGTATGTGACGTTTTATTACTAAACACTAAATTGTTCCCACAGAAACATTTTTGTTGCCCTCTTACAGAATTCAATGTAATTTGGATGTTATGCTTATGACGATTACGGATTACCTATTTCTTAATTACGGTAAATTTTTTATTGATAGGTATATAATTGAAAATTGCTTTGGTTTGGATTCTTTCTATTGTTTTTTCAATATGCTCGATTTTCCGTCGTTTGTCTGTCTGTACGTTCCATAGAATAAGGTCTTTCGAATACCTTAATAAAAATTTTAAATTGTTTTTTGAAAAAAAAGTTCGATGCCGTTGCACGTTCTATTTCTTTTTCAAAAATCCGTCCCATTATTTTTCGTTTCCGTATGCCTAATGGCTAATATATATAATATCCAACATTTGAACCGAATCCGTCGAGCCGTTACCTCGGAAGATTGCAAACGTACTTACGTGTACATATGTAGCCGGAAAAAAATTTATTGTTTAGAAGTCGTCATTAATCAAACTGCAAATTCATGAAAAAAAGTATCACTTTCAAAACTAGTTGTACAAATAACTATTTCGAACTGCAGACTCATACAAAAATTCCTAATGAAACTGGACGGAGTGTGAGTAGGTTTAGGACGTTTTTTTAAAATTTTTTAAAATGAAAACCCATACATTGGGCAGTGTATGAAAGGATCTGGTTTTTCGAACAGTCGGCGTTGTGGTCACGTTCGGCGTAGTGTTCGTCCGCAAAGTGGGCATTGTCGGTGTTGTGCCCCTTGCACACTTGTCGACGATGTGGGCACTGTTGGCGATATGGACCATCAAAATACCGTGTCGGCGTTGTGGGCATTCGGCGAAGTGTCCTAGACCCCGAATCAAACAAATTTTCTATGATATCGGTTCGTTTGTGTTCTCATTTCTGGTTAAACACCACCGAACCGATTGAAACCAAATTTGGTACACATATTCTTAGACATAAAAGGAAGAACAGAGAAGGTTTTGGGGAGAATCGCACATGCGCTAGTGTGCCAAACCTCTCATTTCCGGCTGTACCGATTGGAATCAAATTTGGTACTCATATTCTTTGACATAAAAGGACAAAATCGCGTATGTGCTGGTGGTATCTTCGTACCTGTGTTAGCTGCATTAACATTTATGGTGCGAAACTTATTTAATTTTCGATAGTTTAAAAACGATGCTCCATATATACAGTACAGCATACAATACTTTATGAATGTACGAGAATAAAAGACGCCAGCAATACGAAAGCAAAATAGCATAAGAAAGCCAATTGCTTTTTTTAAAAATGATTGTTCAGCGATTTAAAAAGTATAGGCGAATGATCAAAGACCGATGCAGTCAAAACCCTGTAAAAAGAAGCTACGCCCCTTTCAATTTACAACAGCCTGATCTACACTTGTAACTCAAAAACATAAATCAATCCATTTTGTTAATTGTTATTCATTCTCCTAAATCGTAGTCGGTTAGCCGCCTACATACAATACAAATTGACGCCTCCCGTACGTGGTACAGGCACAGTTTGAGCAAAGTGAAAAGCAACCCACGGTCCTGCTCTGCACATGTTCAGATGGTAAAGGTGAAAGGAGATACCAGAAAACTACGTAAGTATAATATAAGTGGTAGTGCTTGGCCAACATGCGCTTAAGACTCAAAGCGCATTCGGCATTATACATATGAAGATTATCGCAAACCATGAACATTTTAAACTATTACAATAGACAATAAATAATATTGTATCTAATAATGCTTACATATTTCTTTATTGACTATAAATAAGTTACAAAAAGTTTGATTTTCTGCTTAGAAACTACACGACATAAAGGCATGCTATTTTGGATGTTTTTTAAACATTATTAGCACAGTGCTTTAGACATAAACAGCTAGCTAACAATAATATAATAAACCGTTACATTGCAAATGTAGGTAACTAAAAATTTTGTAAAAAGCAAATGGTAGAAATAGAATGTAATTTAATGCTGAATTGGAATTAACGTTTCCCCATGAGTGAGGGCAGGTAGGGGCGCTTCTACGGTCAAAACGCCGTCTTTACTCAGAGAGCTTTTGATGCTTTCCGGATTTGTTCCTTTGGGTAGGAGAAACTCCCTGTTGTACTCTCGGTAGACCGATTTACTGTCGGTTTTTTCCTCGTGTTTGGCGTGGACCTGCAAAATGAAACGTTGAGGTTACGCGATTTTGGTAGCCACATCTTACCAGTAGTTTGTTATCGACAGTTTTGACGACGATTTCTTCAGGAGCGTACTGGCTGACGTCGAATCGCAATTTAAGGCATTTGGAGTCGCCGTCTCCTTGGATTAAGGGGGAGTTCAGGTCGTCTAACCATGTTCTCACTTCTCCTGATGGTCGCGCGCTTATATCGCCAGAGGTGTTGTGTGATGATTGTGTGGTTGTACTGCTGCAAAGTAATTGTAAATTAATAGGACAAGTGCGAGCTATTTCGTGCAAAAGTGCGTGCAGACATACACATGCGATGATTTGCCTGGTTTTTGAACTTCTATAACGAGTAGAATACCGAAATCTTTGGCAAAGTGCTCATTGCGAGCTAGAGACAGTAGAGGAAACTGGATTCAAACTCAATAATTGTATAAGATTGTGGTAGGTAACACTTCAGTTGTGTGCCAGCCACCACCGAAGATTAAAACAGTGCCCATTTGATCTTGTATGCCCATGCATTTTGTGGATGAATAAAGAGGGATGGTATGTACGAAATAGTGACAACACTTCTGAACTAGATGGCGGTGAAAATAGGCGCGAAAATGTGCCGGTTGTATTTCTAATTTGCGAAAACGGTCATTTTCTAATAATAAAGATGATCCCCGTGCATATAGAAAAGCGGTGCGAGGTACTATCGCGTTTTTTGATACACATACAAACCTCGTGGACGTTGTTGAATTCCCTCCGGATACTTTTTCGTACTCGTAAGACATGCAAATTGAAATGCATTTGTTAGTCTATTGTAAGTACTAAAAATAGAAATGAAAAATTTAATACTAGTATGGGTGTGGTTCGCCTCTCCACGGCTTGCTATTTAAAAATACTCATCGCCAACTGTTGTAAAAATCTTAGTTTACGCAAACTACAGAGATTATGTTTCCAAAATAATGACGCTAAGTAATTGTTTTTGGCATTAGGTAAGGAAACGGTCAATAAGTAACCGACGAAAGTGAAGTTCTAGGCGATTTATTTATATAAACCGACGCCAGTTGCATTCCATTTTAATCTTGCCAACTTTCTAGAAGCTTCCAAGCGGAGATATTAAAGACAAAAGGTCACCGGGTAATCTTCTGATGTATCAAGTAAAGGAGGGTTGAAAGTAGGCACCTATTTAAGGACTGTGACATCATCGCTATGTTCTTAAATGGTAAAAGTCAACGTCTGCATGTGTTGTACTCGTACCAGTCCCAGACAGGATGTACATTAATGGCGCCCGAGATGGCTCCCCGTTTCCACTTATAAAACTAACATATCCGGCGAAATCTAAAGGGAAAAAAGCAATAAATTGCGCACCTACTAATTACGTGCAAAATTTATTGTGTAACTGACCTTCACACATGATTCACACTCATTACGTGGGTAATTTGTGATGTTTGCTTGGAGCTTATCTATATTTTTCGGCATTTCAATAACTTACGATAGGACTCGTACCAAAACGTACAAAGTCACTCGCAGGTAAAATTGCATTAATAACTGGATTGTGTAGAGAAGAAAGAGGGAGCCAGGCCAGGTAACGTTAGTTTACCATTATGTAATGTTGGCCTACCTACATGACAACAGAAGACCGTTACCTTTTTCTGAAACAATTTCCCAAGGGGAATCGATGTAACCTTAACAATTGTCGATACAAACTGAAAACCTTGCGTGTCATCTTTTAAAGTCAGACGGATTATTTGGGTCTTCGAACTTTGCCGCACGCGAGAATATCGTTTTTTTCCGGCGAGACATAATGCAATTACAAACGAAATTGGTGGCATTTTCGTGGAAGCAATTACAACTAAACTTGTTGAACTGTACAAAGTGCGACTTTTATAATCTTATTGGGGAGGGTGCGGGCTTGTGCACAAATTCCAAGTTGAAAAGCAAATAAGGGCGGGCATTATACGATAATTAGTTTAATCAAATATTTAGACTGTTATCCAACCAAAGGCTTACAAAAATCAATACCTGGTGGTCGACTTGAAGAAATTGTTGGCCTCCCTGTTCATCAACTCCGACCGAAATTTGTTCATTTCTTCTTCCATCCTTCGCATTTCGGCGTCGAATTTATCTCGAATGCCGACAAATTCACTATCGACCACACTGAAATCGTTGCGCATTTTGATGGGTATGTTACAATTTGATGCCATTTTGTCGGAAAGGATGCACTGTACGATAACACAAGCAAAACACGATTACTATAGTGACACTCGGATGTTTTGTACTTTGTACTGACGATGAGTACGACTCGTAAGTATTTAGAATTATCTGCGGTAGCTAGCTGCTGGGGTTTCGATTTAAATATAGAAGTTGAGATGTGGGGGAGCTTGCGCAACACGAACTCCTTTTCGATGGAAGCCGACGGTGACGCCGCCGCCGATGAGTTGCATTGTAATTTAATAGACATAAATGATAAATGGCCATACAAAATTTGTGACGAGCGCATCCCACACACCGACGCTTCGGAAAATTTTCTGGAACAATAAGATTGCCATTTAAAGAAGTAAACAAGGTGTTTCCTATTTAATTTTCTAGAGCGAATTCCATTAGAAAGGTGACTTCATTCATTAGTTGTGAAGAGGTAGATGTTTTTTGCCCAAGTCCGACGCCCACAATATTTAAAGGGAATGTTCTAGAAAAATTATTGCTTCTGGGTTAATATTAACTATAAACGTAAGAGTTGCATCCCATCCCATTCACCTTAAATACATGGAGATGCTTATGGTTTTGGGGTAGGTAACACATCAAATGGCAGTTCAAACGAAGGCATTTATTCAAAACGAACCAAAATGACACCCTGGGCCTGTAAATTTCCATTTAAAATGGAAATATTTGCACTGGAAATGGAAAATTGACCTATTCCCAAAACGTTAAAACTCCATAGGATCGTTGCTGCTCTGACAATATACTTCCATCATCCCCATTTGCATCTTAGTTTATAGTTTTTACCGCCCGCACGTTTTTAGTAATAGAGGGAGGTAAGTACTGCAATGGGGTAAAAAACTGACTCCCAACTTCTTTTTTTACGGAAATACACGTTTTGAAGGCCCAGGAATCCGAGTCGAACAAAATGTCGGTTCGTCTGTACCCTCATTTCTGGCTAAACGGCTGAACCGATTGGAATCAAATTTTGTAACCTACACGTATTCTTAGACATAGAAGACAGAAAAAAACGCTTTTGGGCAGAATCGCATAGGTATGCTAGCCCTTGAAGATACAAAAATTAAAACAAAAATACCAATAAGCACACCCGGTGGATTTACCAGCAGGCTGAGTTACCTGGGGCCTAGAGCGGCAGATTTTAGGGGGCGGCAAATTTGGCCCACAGAAAAAAATATATTGTAGGTAGTAAGGGTGATTTTTTTTTCATTTTGACTATGGATATCTCGTAAACCGTGAGAGATACAAAGTCGCTTAAATGGGCAAACTTATGCAGAATTGTATGCTGATTAATTTTCCCTTTCTCTTGTAGCTTTACAAATAGCGTAGTTATGGCGAAAAAGATAAATACCTTTTTGAAGTTCCCTTACAATCTGCTAACGACTCTTTGCTCGCTTTTGGTGTTGGAGGCCTTTGAAAATTTGTAATTCTTAAAGACTTTTAGGTTCCATAAAAAGCACTTTAAAAGAGTAACTGAATTTCTTTAGGGCTGCTCAAGGGGCATCTCTTGAACACTATTAAAACGTATTACGAATTTTTAAAGGCTTTTAATAGACCTCTTTATATGCTCTTATAAAATCAAAAATCAATTTAAAGCCCGCAAAACCTGAAACTAAATTTGAAGTCTCTTAGGGGCCCTTAAAATCTTTTGGAAAAACATGAAAGGCCTTGACAACCCTCAAAGCTATCTAAATTTAAGACTATTGTAGACTCTTGAATAATCCCTTAGAAAATTGTTCAAGTCTCTTTGAAAGACCCGTGTAAAGACCGTAAATAGTTCTAAAGGCCCTTCAAGGATTCAAAGTAAAGATAAAATGCTGTTGAGGATTATTAAAAGTTCATTATGGGGCTCTAAAAATTACAGGGAGGCCGTATAGACATTGAAGGGTATATGTTTGGTGACTTATGAAGGTTCTATACCAAGAAAATCCTTAAAATATCTCAAGAGCACTTAAGGGGGTTTTTAAAGGGCACTAAATTCCATTAAAGCTAATGAAGGCGTGATTAATGTGAACCACCTTGGTGTAGCCTACACGTGACTCCTGTTTTGGATGCTCTCAAGGTTACTTAAGCACTTTAAGAGCATAATAATCATGTTCTAGAAAACTTTAGAAGTGTGTTACTGACTTTTGGAAAGGTCCTTCCAAACTGTTAAATTTTTAAGTCTCTAAAATGCACTTCTAGAGAACCATATAAACGTCATACATAGTCTTAAAGGCTCTTAAAGGTTTGATTATAAAGTGCTCTTGAAATTTATCAAAAGTTTTAAAATCTATTAAACATTTTCAAAAGTTCGTAAAAGGTTATTGAGGTTCCAAAGGCTAGAAGAAGGCCGCGAACACCGTTGGAGGCATTTGGTAACGTATGAAAACTTTTAGGGGGTTTATACGAACAACGTTTTCCAAAATATCTAAGATAATTTTAACAAACTCTTAGTGATTTTTTTTCAGCATTCTGACGATGTTAAAATCAAAATTTTATGACTTATTGTGGGTTTCGAGTCAACACATCCACTTTCTTATTCCTTATTGTCCTTGGTGCTCAACTAGGTTTCGGGCAACAATCCGCACCCTCGGGATTAAAACACACTCTTTAGTCCCTTGTTATATAATATACCTACTATTAGTGCCAAAGGCGTTTAGCGCGTTTCAAAAAAGAAAAAGGTGCTCCGTTTGTTTTGTTTTTGAAGACATATTTATTAAAATACAATAATGCACATTTAACGATTCCACATGCAGTTGACTTTAGCTTCAACAAAGGGAGCGTTGACATCATAAAAGAGTCCTCAATGCCTGTTTATAAACACAAATTAATTAAAATGTGGGAATCTTCACAAACTCGCCAGATTTTCCCAAAGCATTTAATATATAATAAAATGAAAATGACAAACCTAATAAATTTTTAAACAACAAAATGAAAGTATTTTCCTGATCAGTTATTTTCCTCAATGTAATGGAGTTATGCAGTAGTTCAGTAGTATGCAGTTATGCATACTACATACTACATTATTCAGTTATGCAGTAGTAGTTCCTAATTCCTAGTAGATACGATTATTCTTTCCTATCATCATTCCCATCATCCCAAAAACACCGTAACTATATAGTGACTAAATCAGTGTGGGACATCTTCCAGACTGATATTGATGATTCATTGTTTAGTTGATTGAATGAAATTGCATACACGACAAACAGTGTTCTAAAAAATACTCCCACGGATTTTGGCAACGACTGCACCTGTATATCACACCGAACAATTATTTATAAAAACTAGGTGGTTTCAAAAATTTTGATTGAGTGTGGGTTATTATATTATCTGGAATAAACCCAAAAGTGCGTACTAAATTACGTCTATAACCAGAAGGAAGGCCATTCCTGCCCTCCTGCAATTATACCTTCAATGAAATTCGACACATTAAACGCTGGATATTGTTGGAATGTTGTAGGCAATAAAATTGGCGATTGCAGTGCAAAATAGATAAAAATAGAATTGTGACGTTAATTCTAGAATGTGCTATTTCAACCTTCTTCCTATTCTACCTACAAGTATGTACATTTTTAGCTTACATCGTACACTCATTGACTGATTGAAGTATTGTTCTCCTTTTAAAGACTAATATGTGTTTTGTTGACTTTTTGTCACGTATGTTAATTATAGTCCAATTACTCACAAATATTAATATTAATAGGTAAGTATGGAAATTGTCTTCTTACCGGTTAACCACGAAACCGGCCTACTGCAGATCACACCTTACCATATTAGGATTCCTTTTCGGAACTGCTGTCCTCGTAATATTTTCAAAGTCGTTGGCAATTTCGTGACTTTCCCCTTTCAATCTCGAACTATATAATAGAGTAATAAAACGTTTGGAAAAATTGGACTATTTTATGTACAAGTTTCATCAATCATTTGGCAATCTTGGAAATGATAAATTACACCCCAATTAAATATAAAATGTAGTTCGAATGTCCAATCAAAATGGCACAAAGAAATGAATGCGACCACCTTTATCCTATCAACGAAGGCATTTATTTATCCTTCTTGAATGTATATTTAGCTGAGAATATATTGTCGAATCAAGGCAGTATTTCTAATCAGATTGCGTGGGATGGTAAATTTGCAAGTGGGAAATGTCACAGGAAATGTTTTACTAAAATTGTGTGCGTTTACTACGGACAATTCTTTATTTGAACCAAATAAAAGTAAATTCGCCGATATGGCAGATTTCTTAAGAGTAAACCCTATTATTTTGGTTATTTTTTAAACAAATTTATAGCGCTTGAACATCCTTAATAACTGTCTGCTTTTTAGAGCATTTTCCGTCCGTCTGTCCGTCCGTCAGAGGTCTTAACTGCTCCTATACAGTTTTCAATATATTCAGTTTGTTCTTTTTGATTCTGTAGCTTATGCTTTGGCACCTGAGAAAAATCTTGACGATTCATTTGCACATGCGCGGGTTACGCAATATCAACTGTCCTATTTATCCAGGTATCTTTTTGAAATTCTAATCACAGATGCTTCTCATATAGATATCTCATAATGTAAACATTAGATTGCGCAGTGCCAACATCAGTATTTATGAAGACATTTCTTTGAGATTTCAACCATAGCTGCTTCTAGTAAAGAAAGACGTGTGTAGTAAAAATCGAAAACTGCAAATATCATCAAAGGCAAACACATCACATATAGAAAAAATCAAATGCGCCCAGAAGGACCAGGAATCCCTGCTATTGCATTTGCTGCACGTCTTCAGAACATCCCTGGCGTTACAGTCGGAAAAATGAACTGTCTTCAATCGACCAGGAATACCGAGACATTTTCTTATAGATTTTGGCGTGTAGAATTCATAATTTCAAACAGTTTGAAGGTTGGGCTACTAGTTCAAAAGTTACACCCCTTTGAATTTTCTTTCGAAATTGGTTTCTAGTCTATAACTTTAGATTGAGAAGTCTAATCGAAAAAGTACGAATTGTTTTGGTTTCTACGCATCAAAATGAATAAGAAAAAGTGTTTTCTCGAGAAATTTTGGTGCAGTCGATTTTTGGAAAAAAAGGAAGGTTGTACACTGCCTTTTTTTGAGGCCGCAAAAAAAGATTGTCTCAGAACGACCGGAAAAAAAAACATTTCCTTATAGAA